GCTACACAGAGAAACCCTGTCTCAAAAAACTAAAAAATAAAAAAATAAAATAAAGTGTATACCACCTCCGGGCAATGGTGGCACACACCTTTAATCCCAACACTCTGAAGGCAGAGGCAGGGGGAAATCTGGGAGTTTGAAGCCAGCCTGGTCTACAGAATGAGTTCCAGGACAGCCACTGCTACATAGAGAAACCCTGTCTCAACAAAAACAAACAAGCAAACAAATAAAATGAGAGAATATAAATCAAGTTCTTCATGACATATGGACTGGGGACAGAAAGGCACCAGGAAAGCTGTAGTGGCCTGGGTCAATAGAGCCTCATATCTCCTCTCTCTCTCTCTCTCTAATATTTTATGGGTGTGAATACTTTGGCTCATATGTATGCGTGCTATGTGCGTGTTTGGTGCCTGCAGAGTTCAGAAAAGCGCATTGGATCCCCTGGAACTGGAGTTACAGACGGTTGTGAGCCGCCATGTAGGTGCTGGGAATTGAACCCTGATCCTCTGCAAGAGTAGTCAATGCTCTTAAGTGCTGAGCCATCCCTCTAGCACCATTTTTTTTGTTTTGTTTTTATTGAGAACATAAATTCTTACCACATTTGTGAAATTGACCATTGGAAAGCAAGAGAAAAAAAGGTCTCCTAGAGCCCTGCCTGCCAGGATCCACACATCTCTGTCTAGGGGACACCCCTGAGCAGTTGCCAGGCCACTAACAGGGCCCAGATGTGCCCAGAGGTGGCCTTGGCTCCAGACCTGCCTGCTGGGACACTCACCGGGGGTGGCTCTACAGCCAGTTTATTTCCTGGAATGATTTTAAAGAAAATCCCAAGGGAAAAGCTAATGACCCAGCCTGATCCTGCCTCCCTGGCCAGCATCCCTAGGCCTGTCTCTTGAGCTTCTGCCCAGAGAGGGGCTTGCTCTTGGGCACGAAATCAACTGTCCAGAGCAGTTGGGATGGCTGTGTTGGAAGGGCTCCATTTTGGGACCACTGTGGTAAGTGGGTTCTTGGTTTTGGCTTGGAGACAAAAGCTCAGGTTGGCTTCTAACTTAGTTGCTACAATTGACCTTGAACTCCTGAGCTTCCTTCCTTGCCTGAGTGCTGGGATTACCTGCTGGAACCCACCAGGCCCGGTGAATGCAGTGCTGGGAATAAGCCCAGAGTGAGCCTTAGGCGTGCTTTTCCAGCACTGAGGCACATCCTGGTCCTACCACAGCTGCTAGTGATGGGTTAGCACAGAGCCCCAGTGCAAATTGAAACTGGTGACAGGAGGCAGAGCAGAAGCAGAGTGTCTCCAAGCTCTCCTGAGTCCTTCCAAGATGCAGGCTGAGTATTGAGGACACAACAGCCTGGAGACAGCCGAGTGACACCAGGAATGAGACCTGTGGCATCAGCACTTGCAGTACCACAAACTGAGTCTGACAGATGCAGATGTGTCCTGCTGTCCTGCCGGGAGTGTCGAGCCCAGACCCAGCTGTGAGGGAGTGCCAGGACCACTCAGAGGGATGGTCCACATAACTCCTGACTTCTGGCTTTATCTTTGAGACCAGTTACTATGTAGCCCTGACTGGCATGGAATTTTGTCTTAGTTTAGTTTTTATCGTGGTGATAAACACCCTGACCAAAAGCAACATTCAAGTCACACTCCAGCACTGAGAAAAGTCAGGGCAGGAACCGAAGGCAGAGGCCATGAGAGATGCTGCTTACTGGCTTACTCAACCTGCTTTCTTCTAGCACCCAGGACCACCAGCCCAGGGTGGTACCGCCTATGGTGAGCTAGGCCCTTCCACACCCACGGTCAATCAAGAAAAGACACCGAAGACTTGACTACAGGCAAATCTCATGGGGCCATTTTCTCAATTGAGTTTCCCTCTTCCCAAATGAGTCTAGCTTGTATCAAGTTGACATAAAACTGGCCACTACAAAATTACTTTCTACATCAGGCTTGTCTTGAACTCACAGAAATCCACCTGCTCAAGAGCTGGAAATAAGGGTGTATGCCACCACACCTGGGCTTTTGTTTTGTTTTCTTCCTTTTTGTGACAGGTCTTACTATGTAGCTTAGGCAGGCAGTGAACTCATGTTTTTTTTGTTTGTTTGTTTGGCTTTGGAGTTTGACCTGGAACTAGCTCTTGTAGACCAGGCTGGTCTCAAACTCACAAAGATCCGCCTGCCTCTGCCTCCTGAGTGCTGGGATTAAAGGCGAGCGCCACCAACACCCACCAGGCAACCTTAATCTTCTTGCCTTAACCTTCAGAGTGCTAGTGTGAGCCTTTGGGCCTAGGTGGCCTTGTACTTTAAAAAATGCCAACATCATAGGCCGGGGTCTGGTGGGGCGCAAGCCCGGTGTTAGGTGAGGGTTTTGTATCCCCAGCACCACAGAAACCACAGTGTTTATAATCCCTTCATTTGCTGAGCGTTGGTGGCGCACGCCTTTAATCCTAGCACTTGGGAGGCAGAAGCAGGTGGATCTCTGTGAGTTCGAGGCCAGCCTGGTCTACAGAGCGAATGCCAGGATAGGCTCCAAAGCTACACAGAGAAACCCTGTCTCCAAAAACAAAACAAAAATCCCTTCACTCAAACGTCAAAGGATAACACATTTGAGGCTAACTTAGTCTACACAGTGACACCTTCTCTTCAAAAAAGGGGGTGGAGCTGAGAATGTACGGTCCTTGGTCGAGTGCTTGCCTAGCATACACAAGGCTTTGGGCCCATCCTCAGAAGTGCACAAACTCCATGTAGCTGTGCCCTTGTGCTCTTGAGCACGGGGGAGGAGGGGTTGTTCACCTAATCTGATACTGCCCGGAGTCTTTGTGCCTAGCCTGAGCTGCGTGAAAGCCTGCCTCAAAAAATGTTTCTAAATCAACAAATAAAATAAAATAAATGCTGGGCATGGTGGCCACTCCTTTAATCCCAGCACTCAGGAGCCAGAAGCAGGTGGAACTCTGTGAGTTCTAGGCCAACCTGGTCTACAGAGTTCCAGGACAGCCAAGGCTGTTTCTACACGTAGAAACCCCGTCTCTAAAAACCAAACCAAACAAACAAACAAACAAACAAAACAACAAGAAGCAAACCTAAAAAAAAAAAAAAAAAAAGAAAAAAAAAAGAAAAAAACATCCCAAACTTCTCCATCTCTCCTTGGCCAGCTCCATGGCCTGCTCACCTCCTCCTAGGGACAGCCTTTTCCCTTCACATTGTCAAAAACTGCACGTTTCTGTGAATAATCCTTTGCTGTCCCCACCCCTGCTCTTCTTACAGAGGGCTGTCTGTCCACTCAGCTCGGGCCCACTGGAGCTCTCTCCCATGCACTAGAGTCCATTACCAGCCCCAAGAAAGTGAACAAGGCCCCAGTCTGGGAGGGCACTAAGTCAGTCAACACTCCCGAGGCTACCATAGCCCTGGTACAGGCCACTTGGCACCTCCACCCTGTTCCTTCTCCTAGCTTCTCTTGCCTCCCAAACTTTAATCTCTGCTCACCCATGCAGCTGTGGAACCTGGCTCCCAGCTCCTGTCTCAAAGCTCCACAGTGAGCCCCTGGCTTTCTACTCTTGCTCAGGGACAGCTCCTTCCAGTCCTGCAGCCTACTCTTCACGTGTGTGTCCCCGTCACTCCCCCCATCTCCCTGGACTCCATCACTCTTCCTCCACCTCCACCCCTCTCAGAGGAATGTCAACCCTCCTGAGGGCTTCGGATGCCTTGGTGGGAACCCCGCCTGCCTGCTGCTCTCCGGCTCTCCAGCCTCATTCCATCCTGGCACCACTGCAGGAAAGCAGGGTGTTTAATCGCTTGTTTGTTTTCTGTCTCCCCCACTAGAACAGAAGTTCCTGACTGCAGCGACTATTCACAGGGCCTGGCACACCCCGGCTCACAGTACCCACTGAATGAGTGAAGGAATGTCTCCTGACAATCTCTCCAGAGACAGGCACTGTTGCCTGATTTCTAGAGGCAGAAACTGGGGCTGAGAACAGAGGGAATCTGGCAGGGAGAGGTGAGAGTCAGGGCCAGGAGCCAGGCCTACCTGACTCTCAGCACGCTCAGAGCCAGGCTGACCAAATCCTAGGCGCAGGACCTGGGGCCAGGCCCTCAGCGCTGAGTCTGGTCCTGGAGGCCCATCCCATCCCTCCAGGCCCGGGTGAAGTCACTCACTGATCACCCTACTGTGGAGAAACCAATTGGGGACACTGTAGCCGTGAGCCAGTTGGTGCCCAGCCCCCAGCACCCACCTCACTAACCTCCCTTCAGGGAGGCCTGCCACAATTTGGCAATTGTTAGAGAACTTTTTTTTTTTCCTTTTGGGAGGAAAGCTGTAAGTCATTAGGCTGCTCCCGCCTGCGGGTCACCATTTCCTGTTTAGAAGACTCATCTCTTCTTTGGAGCTGGAAGCTCCCCACCCCCAGCCCCGCTGGAGCTGAGCTGTGCTGAAACTCCACAGGCGACTCCTGCCCTGCTCCCCACAGGAAACTGGCACCTTCGGCACCTTTGTGCTCAGGGGGTGCCACTCATTTTCTCTGGGCCCCAGGAGGCCCTCAGAGTGGAGCTCACCAGCACCAGCTAGCCTGAGGTAAATTGCCCCAGCTCTGGTCCTGTGAGCAGGAAGCTGAGTGACCCCTACCCTTTGGCCTGGCTTCTCACCCTCTTGGCTCCAGCCAGCCCATTTCCTTGCATCAAAGGCCATTTGGTACCCAGCAGCCAGACGGAGGTGTGGGCCTGCCTGACAGGGAGGCCCTTGGGAACAGGAAAGACATCCTCCTTCAGCTGGGAGGGGCAGCTAGTCCTGCCCCAAAGACCTGCTATAGGGGAGCCACAGCACAGGGCAGGCTGTAGATAAGGCCTTGAAGCAGCTTCCTATGCTAGAGAACCGGAAGAGTGTGGGGAAGTACCTGGACCCCGAAGTTCATGATACTCATTAGAACTCCAAAGCACAGGCCTTAAGACCCCGATCTGTTTCTCCCGTAGGTGTCCCTTTAATGTGTCCCCTTCAACATCAGCAGTTTTTAGTATAGTATATAAATTAACCACTTTATTGAGTATCAATAAACTGTACATATTAACTATACAAAACGCTGCTTACAATATAAATACCTTTAAAATGTAAACATCTTCCTCCCAGGGCCACCTGTTGGCCCGAAAATAGTTCTGGGAGACACGTTGGCCAGGCCGAAGCACCCCACTTGGCCCTAACAAGTGACGGCCATTACTCATGGTCCCCTTCTCAGACAGTTAAACTGTGAAACAGGTGTCACCAGGACAAATGGGGGCAGGGCTGAAACAGCTGCCCCGGCCCAGGGGCACCTGGACATGTGTCCAGCAATCACCCGCTGAGGCCTGAATGTAGCCGCGGGTGGAGGGAGACTATTGCATAGTCTGTTGTACCTTGAGGAAGTTGTCCTGAAGGGTCCTTGGGGGAGGTGGGGAAGTAGGGGTCCCCTGAGTGGGGTTCAAGCTTCCCAGCCAGTGGGTTGGCTTTAGTCCTATGGCTCGAAGTAGCTGTGTCCAGAGGCTATACCTCATGAATACTGAGGGGTGGCTCAGGGAGGGAACCCAGGCACCTGGCCCTCCATCCGTCATCTGTGGAAAGGCCACCGAGAGAGCTAAGCAGGAACCAGGGCCAGACGTGGCCTCCACAGGTTCCTGGACCAAGGCTGGATGGAGTCCTGTGGTGAGGACCAGCTCCAGGGAACCAGGGAGATGCAGAGAAAGGATGTTGAGACAGTGGGGTCAGCGTGGGCCTCCAGAGCAGCCAGACTCCTGGTGTTTATGAAGCAAGGACATCCTGGAGAAAGTGCGGGCACATGCCTGGCACTGGTATTTCTTCACATCTGAGTGTGTCTGAAGGTGGGCACGCAGGTTAGAGCGGTCAGCGAAGGCACGGTTGCAATGGGAGCAGGAGAATGGTTTCTCACCTGGGGAGAGATAGCAGAGGGGTTAGGAAGGTCTGGACAGTGCTTGATCAGCCCTGATGCACCTTGGAAGCCCAAGTACAACCAGGTCCTGTGATACCTACTGTGCACAGGCCTGTACTGGGTGGGGGGTCTCTGGTCTCTGGATTTCCTGTGTGTAGCCCTGACCATCAGATTTCTGAGTCTCCAAACTCCCTCCCAGAGTACGATCAACTGTAAGTCCTGTCCGTCTGGCAGGCACTGAACACTTCTGATTATTTGCCATCTGACCCTTCTGCAGTCCTATTAGAGATAGAGAAACTGAGGCACAGAAGGTAAAAGCAGGTTCCAGGTCCCCCACCAGGCCTCCATAGCCCTTGGTTCTAGCCGCTGCCTTGGGCAGGGGAGGCTGTGGTTGGTGTCCTTTTATCAGCCTTGATGTCATTCCTTGATTTACTTTGTCTGGGACAAAGCTTGAGAGACAGCCTGGAGAGTCCTCCCCACCCCCACCCACAGCCAGGGAGGCCGCTGCTCTGCACCCTGCCTGCAGCCCACAGCACAATCCCAAATCGTGGCTATTCCCATTAGACCAGCAGGGAACCTCTCCTCAGCCCACTTTAAGGAACAGCCTGGGGGCTTATAGACACCTGGGATCCTGACACACCACCAGCAAACTAGCTGTAGTGCACAGGGGCTACAATGTTTAATAATTGCTTGCAGAATTAATAAATGTGTGTGGCTTTTTGTTGGTGGTGTTTTTTTTTTGTTTGTTTGTTTGTTTTGTTTTTAATAAAAACAACCTGAGCATGGTGGTCCACACTTGTGATCTCAGCACTGGAGACAGAGAGAAGAGTGCCTCTGATTTGATTGAACCCAGACTAGCTAGGCAACACAAATAAACACCAACAACAAAACCAAGTATCTGTGGCACTCCTACTATGTGCTAAGTGATGCTACAATGTGGACTGGTGGCTTAAAACAAAGCAAGGCTGCCCTCCCTCCCAGCCTGCTAGCCCAGAGGCGGTGCCCTTTGGTTAAGATTCTAGTGCTGGAATTCAAGGGCTGATGAATGACTCCTGGGTGTGCTGAGCCTCTGGGTAGAGGGAATCTCAGCAGGGTTCCTGTGAGACCCACCCACTCAGCAGGTATTCACTGAGCAGAGCTGCTTCCAGCCATCCGAGGGGGCACATACCCACAGAAGCCTGTGCAAGGCAGGTGGGACTCCACAGGACTGGGGAAGGAAACCTGGTGTGATGGAGCCTGGCAATCTGCAGGCTCCCAGCAAGGACCCTCCTCCACTTACTCCTCGGCAACTCAGTGCTGCTGATGCAGGGATCTGGAAGCCCCTACAAGTTAGGGTGCTGACCTGACCCCTCCCAACGACTGGCTGAAGCACTACCTATCACTTTAGCAGGGAAGGGGTGAACTGAAGCAAATTTAACAAAGGGAAGGGGAGCAGACAACAAAGGGTGAGATGGAGTTGGGGGGTCTGAGGGCATGTGCAGGAGTGTAGATCCCCCCCTCCTCACAGATCCCCGACCCCCAGACGCCTTAGTGTTCCTGGCAAGTGTGAAATCGGCACCAGGCCGGCTGGGACAAAGGCCACTGAGGGGGGCACTGTACATGCGATACCCCCTGGATTAAAGGGGCCTGCCATGCAGTGAGCCAGCAGCTGCGGCCAGAACAGGTGCTGGGCACCGCTGCCCCATGCACCTGCTCTAACCCCGCAGGCCCCCACCCCCTGGGCCACCATTAAGATACACAATGGGACTCCCTGAGAACAGGGTGGTGCATTTCAACAAGGGTTTTGTCTGAGCCATGCCTTTACATCAAAACAAAGTCCCTCTGGATGCAAGGCAGCCTAGGACCCCTGCCGGCTTCAGCTCTCTCCAAAGCAGAGCCCCCTGGCTTAATCACAGTGCAGGAGAAAGGCCAGGCTGTTAGAACTTTACAGGTTAAATCTGAGGCAATATGGGCCTGGAGGAGACACGGGCAGCCCATTCATGTAATAAAGATGTCAGTGAGACCTGCAAATGGCACCCCCACCTCTCAGCCTCACCACTCCAAAGCTGGCTGTTCACAACAGGAAATGCACAGCTCCAATGGCAGCTCACATCTTAAAGCCTGATAGCTGGGGCCCTTGAAACTTCAACACTCTTTCCAAAGACTACTCCTAACCAGGGATTCCCACAGTCAAGAACAGGTTGGTGCTGGTGGAAGCCTTCCACACGTTCTGAGGCCGAGACCAGCAAAGTCATTTCTTAGTTTAACATGGTCCCTGCACCTAGCACTTCAGTATGTACAAGACCCCACAAAGTGTTCTCAGGCATTTCAGAAGTGGGGCGACAGAGGAAAGTCTCAAGCCAGGATTCAAGGCCAGGTGGGGAATCTAACAATACCTTGAGCTGGGTGGTGGTGGCCCACACCTTTAATCCCAGCAGTTGGGAGGCAGAGGCAGGCGGATCTCTGTGAGTTCAAGACCAGCCTGGTCTACAGAGTGAGTTCCAGGACAGCCTCCAAAGCCACAGGGAAACCCTGTCTCAAAAAAAAACAAAACACTGTCCTGTCTGGCATGACTCAGAGTGGGGGCTATAGGATACCCCGTCACTCACTCCCAGCCCTAACAGCAAGGAGCAGGGTTCAGGGGAAGGAGTATCTACTTGGCCATCTGCTTGGCAGCGTCAGGAGCAAAAGTTGAGTCCACCAGAGCCAGGGGCCAAGCACTCAGGGCGGTAGAGAAATGAGAGGCAGCTGTGGGAACACTCACCAGTGTGAGTGCGGACGTGGCCCTGCAGCAGCCACGGCCTGGAGAAGGCCTTTCCGCAGGTCGCGCAGACGCAGGGCAGCGTGTGGCTTCGGATGTGCATCTTCAGGGCGCCCAGGCTGAGGTACTCCTTGTTGCAGTATTTGCAGTTGAAGGCCTTCCGGGACTGGGGGTCCTTGGCTACCGAGAGCCTGGCTAGCTGCTTGGGCAGTTGACCCAAGCCGGGGAAGGAGACGAAGGCCTCGGAATCCAGGGATGAGGCCGAAGTGGAAGAGAAGGACGACGGCGCCGGGGAGGGCGGGCTGGGTGGCTGGGAGCTTTTGCCGCTGTCTTCATCGGACAGCGAGGTCAGCTCTGCCGCCCTGGGGCTCTCCCGCGGCGGGAGGGTGGCCCAAGCAACCGGTTGCACTTGGGGCACCAGGAGCGAGTCCCAGATGAGGGTGGGCAGCGAGGCTGCAGGGTTGAGGACCTCGGGCGGAGGGATGGCGGCCAGCAGGTGGGCCTGGTCGTAGGGCTGCTGGAAGATGAACTCTGCGGGCAGCGGGGGGAGAGAGAGAGAGAGAGAAAGAACACAGGGTCAGCTGAGCCGATTCTCGGGGCGCCAGGTGGAGGGTCTCCCTCCCTCCCTCCCTCCCCTGCCCGGACTCCCCATCCGGACTCCCCATCCGGACTCCGCAGGACTGCCTGCCTTGCTCGGGTCTACAGTCCCGGGGCCTCCCCGCCCTGGGCCACAGACCCCCTCGGGGGACCCCAACTGCCAAGAGCGGAGCTCCGGTCCACCTGTCGCTCCCGCAGAACCCGACTTGCCCCTCCGCGCCCCGGGGACCCCGAGCCGCCCGCGTCCCGCACCCCGCCACGCACCTACACACGCGTCCTGCAACTCGCTATAGTTGGGCTTCCGGCGGGGGTCGGACGCCTTCCTAACCAGGAAGGAGCGCGGCATGGTGGCCGGGGCGACCTAGGTAGCCGGGGTCACCGGGTCACGTAAGGTCGATTGGCGACTACTCCGCTCGCGAGGCCCGGCCGCGGCACTGCGATTCCCCGCGGAGCTGCAAACTCTTTAAGTACTAGAGCTAGGGGCGGGGCCGCGGCGCTGGCCACGCCCCTTTGTCAAGGCTGAGCCAATGGCGTGCGGCGGCGCGGCCCGAGGCCACGACAGGAGCAGGTGCGCTGGGATGGAGGAGCTCACGCCGCGTGGCGCTGAGATTCGGCTCGGGCTCCTCCCGGGCCGGACCGCGCGGCGTCCGAGCGCCTCGGGCGCCCCCTGGTGGCCGCGCCTGGCCTCCGCCGAGCGCGGTGACCTTAGGGCGCTGCAGATCGGCGCCCCGAAAGTGCGTTGATCGCTCCCGGAGCACCTCCCACTCTAAGCCAGGCTGAGTTCTGGAGCTGCCTATACCGCCCCGAACAAAACACTCAGAGCCCTACCGAAGCGTGGCTCCCCGTCCGTGGGGGGAGACAGACGGCGTAAACAGGCGATTCTAATGCAAAGTGGGGCGTGCTTTGATGGAGAGAGGTGGGGACAGACTGCGGCAACTGTCAAAGGGCGGTCACCTGACAGGGGGTCTATGACTTCCCAGGGGAAGTGAAAAAACATGGAGGGGAAAGGCCCGAGGTAAGAGTAAGCTCAGTCTGCCCAGCCTTTGAGAGCGGCTCCCAGGGGAGGGGGTGGGGTGGGCAGGCCCCGAGGGTCGGATTTGCTGGCCTCGGGTCCTCCAGGAGTTCGGACTTTGCTCTAAGGGCACTGGGGAGCCGCGGAAGGACTTTCAGATGAGGAGGGACCTGCCTAGAGTTGCGTTGTGAAACACCACCGAGGGCAGGTACGTGGCTGAGCTCCTGGCTGCCTGAAGTCGTGTTGCAAGGGTCTCAGGAAAGAAGGGTACCGCCTGGCACCAGGGTGGCCCCGGAAGTCAAGCCCACACCCCACAGTATGGGGTTACAAACACCTGTAAAACCTCGGAGCCCACGCCAGCAGAACAACTGAGTCTGCAGGCGCTGGAGGTGACAACCGTGGACAGAATCGTCCTCCCAGCACTGGTGACACGGCCAACGCGCAGAGCACTCTGTTCTTCCGCACATCCCTGCTTGAGTCTGGAGGGAGAAGACAGCCCCCCACCCCTCCTTGCTTGTCTCAACTGACGGTTCAGATCACCAGGTCTTGACCTTTCTCCCCCCTCTAGGCACAAATGGCCAGGGCTTTCCTACCACAGGACCTTGGCACCTGCCTTCCACCCTCTGCTTCCTGTTCTCTCTCCCATCTACACCTGGCTAGGCTTCCTTTCATCCTTTGTTTCGGCAGCACCCCCCCCAAGCCCCCAGCTCCCGCCCCCAGCCTCCTTAGTAAGGTGGGAAAAGAGAAAAAAACAAATGAAGCCCACAGGGAAAGGCCGGTTCACACCCTCACACCTGCCACTTGGTCAAGTGTTGATGGATGCTGGCATGCCACTTAGAAAAGGTGTGACTCACCCCGACAGGTGAGTCCTCATTCCCAGGAAGCCATCTTCCTAGGCCGACTGCCACCCAGGGCTTTGCGGTGAAGCTTTTCCTCAAGGGTGTCTGAAAACACCTAAGCCCTGCCCGCCTTCACCTGCAGACACATCCTGATTTAATTATCCAGGGCTGGGGTGGGGGGTTGTTGGCATCCGTTTGTAAAACGACAAAACGACTGGATGCCTCTAAGGAGTTACCAAAGCTAAGATACCTGTGGTTCGCTCTGTCTCTCTATCCTCTTCTCCCCCACCCCCCTCTTTTTGAGACAGGGTTTCTCTTTGTAGCCCTGCCTGTCCTGGAACTCCCTCTGTGGCCTGGGCTGGTCTTGAACTCAGAGATCCACCTGCCTCTGCCTCTGCTTCCCCAGTGCTGAGATTAAAGGTGTGTGCTACCACTGCTCAGCGGACATCTGTGCTTTTAGTATCAAAAAAGAAAGAGAGAGAAAGAAACAAAACAAAAGAAAAAAAAACTCCAATCACTCAAATGTATATCAACAGAGACTAGATTAATAACATGGACTGACCAGACAGCAACAAAAAATAACTACAGCCAGATTGGGGGTCGGGGTGGAGGAACACCTGTATTTGTCTCACATTGGAGGCAGGGGCAGGAAACTCAGAGGTTTAATGCTAGCTTTGGATGAATAGTGAGAGCCTGTCAGGAAAAGGAAGGAAGGAAGGTTAAAGTATGAACAGTTTCATGCAACAACAGAATGATTCTCAAGCCACAGTAATGAGCAAATGCCAGAAACAGGTGTGCAGATAGCTGGATTCACAGATGGTCCAAAGCAGACAAACCAAATTGTATATAATTCAGGGATAATACACCTACTTACAGAATGAAAGTCAGGGAAATCAGAATGAAAGTCAGGGTAATGTTTAACGAAGAATTTTTTAAAATTTATTTGTTTATTGATTTTTGAGACCATAGTATCACACTATGTAGGCTTGTGTGTTCTGAAACTCACACTGTAGACCAGGCTGGCCTCAAACTTTAAGAGATCTGTATGCCTCTGCCTCTTGAGTGCTAAGATTAAAGGTGTGTGTATTTTCACTTTTTTTTGAGACAGGGTTTCTCTGAGTAGTCTTGGCTGTCCTAGAACTCACTCTGTAGACCAGGCTGGCCTCGAACTCAGAGATCTGCTTGACTCTGCTTCCCATGTGCTGGGATTAATGGCTTGCACCAACACTACCTGGATATATTGTAATTTATTGGTTGATTGGTTGGTTGGTTGGTTTTCGAGACAGGATATCTCTGTGTAACTTTGGATCCTGTCCTGGAACTTGCTCTGTAGACCAGCTGGCCTTGAACTCATAGAGATCCTCCTGCCTCTGTCTCCTGAGTGCTGGGATTAAAGGCGTGTGATAACACCACCACCACCAGGCTTATTTTTTTTTATTTATGTGTGTGTGCCTGTGTGAATGAATACCACATACACAGATGCCCTCAGAAGCCAAATTCCCCTGGCATTTGAGTTAATAGTGGTTGTGGACCACTGTGTGGGTACTTGGAACCAAACCCAGGTCTTTTGTAAGAAAGAGTCAGTGCTAGCCGGGTGTTGGTAGCGCACGCCTTTAATCCCAGCACTCGGGAGGCAGAGACAGGTGCATCTCTATGTGTTTGAGACCAGCCTGGTCTACAAGAGCTAGTTCCAGGACATCCTCCAAAGCCACAGAGAAACCCTGTCTTGAAAACTCCCCCCCACCTCGAAGATGAAAGAAAGAGCCAGTGCTCTTAGCTGCTGAGCCATCGCTTCAGCTTTTTTTTTCCTATTTATTTATTTATTTTGAGATAGAGTTACTTTGTGTAGCCTTGGTTGTCATGGAAGTTGATGTGTAGACCAGGCTGGCCTGGAATTCATAGAGATGCACCTGCCTCTGCCTCTTGAGTGCTGGAATTAAAGGTGTGCGTCACCACTGCTCAACCTTTTTTTTTTTTTTTCTCATTTTGAGATGGGGTCTCCTTGAATCCTGGGTCCTCCTTTCTCCATCTCCCTATTGCTAAGATCCTATGTATGGACCACCAACTCAGAGTATGCAGTGTCGGGGATCGAAGCCAGAGCTGTGGGAGCTACATCCAGAGACCTTAATTCTGCTGTTATTTTTGATAGTTTTTACACAAGGTCTGTAGCCCAGCCTGGTCTCAAACTCACTATGTAACCAAGGATGACCTTAAACGCCTGATCCTTCCCCTCCGGATCCTAGGTGCTGGGCTCACGGGCCTCTGGAGGCCACCCCACTGGAAGGAAAGGTGTTTGGTTGGGAAGGAGAGAAGTAAGATTTGTTTCCTACGCAAGTGGAGTTCTTTATAATTAGCCTTTGAACTCTGAATAGACAATTCGAAGCCTTTTGGTATGGTTGGTTGATTGATAACTGACAGGTATCATATAGCCCAGGCTGCCCTCCAATTTGCTCTGTAGCCTACAAGAGCCTCCAACTCCTATGTGCTGGGGTTACAGTGTGTACCACTATACCCAGTTTTATGCTGTGTTGGAAATCAAACCCAGGGCTCCCTGCATGCTAGCAGGCGAACACTCTGGTCAAATGAAGAGCCATCCAACCAGCCTTAGCATTACATATTCAGCACAACAAACATAATATTTGAAGGACAGTGGTGGCACATGCCTTTAATCTCAGCTCTTGGGATGCAGAGACAGGTGGGAAAAAATATAGTTGGGTGGTGGCTGTGCACGCCTTTAATCCCAGCACTGGAGCCGCAGAGGCAGGTGAATCTCTGTGAGTTCAAGGAGGGGGACCTTGGCAGATCCCCCAAGAGTGACTGAGGCAGGGGACAAACATGCCAGGCAGACAGAGCTTAGTGAGAAATTTTATTAGAAAGGGAAAGGTGGAAGCCGGGCGTTGGTGGCACACACCTTTAATCCCAGCACTCGGGAGGCAGAGTCAGGCGGATCTCTGTGAGTTCGAGACCAGCCTGGTCTACAAGAGCTAGTTCCAGGACAGCCTCCAAAGCCACAGAGAAACCCTGTCTCGAAAAACCAAAAAAAAAAAAAAAAAGAGAGAAAAGAAAGGGAAAGGTGGGAGGAAGGAAGAGGTAGAGAGATAGGGAGAGGACAGAAAAGACAGGAAAAGTCCTGTCTGCCCCTGGGGAACAGCAGGAAAGAGAAGAGAGAGTAAGTGGGCGGGGCCTATCTTTTAAAGGGGTCCTTTGCTCCTTCCTGCAGACTTGAAATTGTGGAACCCTGGGCTGACAGGATACTGAGTGCATTCTGCCAGGTGACAGGCAGGCCAGCATAATGCCTGAATCCTTACACTGGGTTCAGTTCCTACATGGCAGCTCACAGCTGTCTGTAAGTCTGGTTCCAGGGAATCTGGTGCCTTCTCTGGCCTCTATAGACACTGCATGTCCATGGTGCACAGAAATCCATGCAGGTAAAACACCCATATGCATGAGTATATATACTAATACATACATGTATACATGTTTATACATATTTATACGTGTGTATATGTTTATACACACACATTTAGAGAGGAATTGACTTGCTATGTAGTCATGGCTGTCCTAGAACTTGCTATGTAAACCAGATTAACCTTGAACTCAGAGAT